CCTGCCATCTCATCAACGTGCAGTAGTGTTTCTACATTGCTGAGTAAGAAAAATGCTTACTTTATACTGATGCAGTGCCATGGATTATAAATTATGTACTGAAATTGAAAAGTTTGTTATATGTTGCAGGCCCAGCTCCTGGACTTAGTAGAGATGCTTATTTACCTAATGTGGCTTCTGTTAAAATGGAAGTTTTTCCTGAAAGCACCTCTTCAAAAGCTAAACATGAACTTTCCATTAATGAGGCTTCTGCAGCTGTGCCTATTTCTGACAAGACTAATGTTGAGGTAGGCAAGTACCAGCATTTAGAGGATAAAGTGAATACAGCAATATCATCTCTGACAGGCGCATCACTAATTGATGGTCCTGCAATCAATCCTTTGTGTGGTTCTACTGCTGTAGAAGATGTCAAAAAACCTGTCCAGCAAATTTCTTCCAAGTCTGCTCCCAGCTCTCAAGCATTTCCTACTTACCCTTCTGCTGCTCAAGCTCCAGTTGCTGCTGCTTCTCCACAATCTTCCACTCCATGCCCACATGATGTGCCAGTTAAGAGACAGGGTCGTAAGACGTCAAGTAGACCAGAAGGATCAAGACGAAGAGGCAGGAGACAGATTCCTGTATTACCTGCTGTAATTGATGGCTCAGCTGTCCAGGAATCTAAATTAAATCTGCAATTGCAAAGTAAATCCAGGGATTCTTTGGGCAGTAAAACTGTTTCCACAAGAAATAAGCAAGAGCTTGATGTTCTGGAACGAACAAATGTTACTCAGATAAATGCCTCTGAGGTCGTGAATCCTGGTGGTTCTGTGAGTCAGGATCTGAAACGAAAAGAAGTTTGTGGAATTCCAGCCTTTGGCAGGATTCAGACTGCTGATGTAAATGATGTTGCTCGCATGATGAAGGAAATCTTCTCAGAAAATTGTTCCTCGAAAGCTAAAATTGGAGAGTCTTCTGTGAATGATGGTAGAAGTATCCCTTTGTTACAGTCATCAGGTAAGATGGCTTTGGAGACGGAAAAGAACCAAACTTCAGAGGATAAAACATGCTCTGCTATGCCAGCTCTTGGAATAGCAGCAACTGCAATGGATGTTTCAACTGACAAGAACAGAAAGCTGCTGGCAAGTGGAGATGATGTTAATGCTAATATTCCTGCTAAGATCCAGGCTCTTGTTTCTCAGACGAATATTCCAGTGCCTGAACCGAAAACCTCTACTGGCTCAGAGGATGTTGTTGATTCAAAACAGGTTTCTAGTGAAAAGCCTGTCATAGGAAACATGGTGATCAATTCGATGGAGTCTGTCAAATCCCCTGGAGAGAATGGTGACCATGCAAAAAAACCAACTTCCTCCTGTGATGATCACACTGGCATTACTATTAACAACTCTAGCATGCAGGTAAAGCTGCCTGTGGAGGTCCCTTGTGTCGTTGAGCCTGCTAGAATAATTAGTGATAATTTAGGACCAAAAACAGAGACTTCTTCAAAAGAATCTCCCAAGTCTTTTCCCTCTGATGTTGGCAGCAGTGAAGCTAACACTTGCTGCGATCACGCTCTGTCAACTTTGACTGTAACCCCAAGCCCGAATAATTCAGATTTGGCTGCTTTGGTGGAAAATTTACCTGACAAGCCAGACATGCTTATTTCTAGTGAAGCTAAACCCGCCGACAGCTCTGGTAACATTGTTGGTGATGGTTTAGAAGTTCATCAGGAAACTAATGGAGGACTGAAAGAAATATCTCCTGATGAAAGCATTGCCATTTTGCGTAGGGCTCCTTCTGAAACACAATTACCATCTGTGGATATCGTTTCTCCAGAACCTTGTGAGAAGCTTGTTATAGAAAAACATACCGTAGGGAAACTGTCAGTACCAATTGAAAATACTGGTGATAATCTTGCAGAAGTGCCCCATCCTGATGTTATGCACTTGAAAACACAATCATCTTCATTGAAACATAACACAGCCAAATCTTCCAATGCAGAGCTTGTCCCTTCTGAACATGATATAGCTCGTCCACAGAAAAATGATGGTAGAGAAAGTTGTTTCCTTGGGGCTGGTAGTACTGAAATTAATACTTTGGGAGTACAGGGACTGTTGACAGAAGACACCTCTTCTCAGTCCATGGGTACAGAAGTTGCTCAAAAAGATGGTGCTGAAGGGCTAGGAATCAGGGATGAGGATGAATATCTTGGAGTTTGCAATTCGGAAGTATGTCCTTCAGAAGTCCGAGCATCTTTGCCGAAAAATGCCGAATCTGGCAACAGAGAGAGTATTGATAAAGATCATGATTGTGCTGAGATGCAGTCAGGGATTGAAAGCAGTGCTGCTGAATCTTCTGTAAAAGAGCAAGATCATTCTGAAAATGAACGACGAGGGGTAGAAAGTGGTAATGATGGTTGTGCTGGGATCCCTGACTTGCAAATAGACCTTCCTAATACACAAGCTTCATCACCAAAAAGTTACTCTTTCTCAGATGAGAGAGAGATCAACAATTCTGAAGCTCGAGTGGGAGATCAAATGATTGCTTCTCAGGTTGATGCGGTCGTAACACAAAATGTTTTGGAAATTGCTGCTCTGCCTTCAAATTCCTCAACGAGTGTGGAAGACAAGGAAGATGAACGATCAGATAAAGTAAAGGATTCTGAATCTGGTTTTGCTGCTGAGGTTGAGGTATGTCAGCCTCGCATAAACGACCCTACTAATTTATCAGAAAACATGGTTCCAGCTACATCTTCCTTGGTAAGGGAGGGAGAAAATGTTGAACGCTCGTCTGAGAAAGACAGGGCATGCAATTCACCAATCTTGGAGTCAGAAGTTTACGTAGATGGAAAGAGCAATCAATGGAAGTAACAG